TAACGACAAAAGGTTGTTCAACCATTGATAATTTATAATTAATTAAGAGAACATTATTTTTTAAGTTTCAAAAAATGCGTATTAAGGATTTTTTGGGAAAAAAAAAACAAATATCAATACAGTTTCTAGCTAAAAAAAAAAGAAATTTAAACCCACTTTCCTATGCTGTTTGGTCACAAATTATGTATTTCAATATTTGCAATACCCAAAATTCCAATTAGTGACGTAGCAACGTGGGTGCAATTATTTTTCAACAAGAAATAAATTCAATATTCTTGTTTTTCCCTCAAAAATAACCCTGAATACAATTTTTTTTGGAAACTAAAAAATTAATGTTCCCTTGATTAATTTTAAATTATCAATGGTTGAACAACCTTTTATTGTTTAATAGGATATTTTTTAGACAGCACACTTCAATTACGTATGAACATCCGGCTGCCAAGACGTGTTCTGTCCTGCCGAAGGCCGAGCAAACAGTGCTATTCATCGTACATCACCCAGTCCAAGTGGCTCATTGAATCGGAGCAAAATTCTTCCTTTTTTCTACTTCATCTTTATCAGCCGAGTGATTTAATATGTAAAAATACTATGGCCATAAAATACTATGATCGTGATTGAGTCAAATTGTATCTTCTATGCGATCGACCCACCTTTATTCAATAATAGTCACGTGGATTAGGGCTGTGGTAAGAAAAATAAGGTACATTGTAATGGAAGTTTTTTGTTATTTAACATGTGCAAACATTTTTACATTTTAACTACGTACCTGTAAGTTGTCATGAATCTGTCATATATCTATATGAATGTAATTAATTAAAGTTGATCTCTTTAGACCCTGAAGAAGACGAAATATATGAACAAAAAACTCGGTCTTTTACAATAGCATTTTTAATTTTTCTGACCATAACCCAAATCCAAGTGATTTTAAGTGATTAAGTCAATAAATCAAGCTTTTATTAAGTTCGCACCATCTCATGTATAAATATTTTACAAAATGAAATGCTTAATTGGGTAAAAATTGTTAGATTTTAAAATAAATGATATAGTTGAAAACATAAATGAGTTTGTTTCGAACGAAAACGTTTTCTATCATCACTATTTAAAAACAACTGACTAAAACAAGGAAAATATGACTGGATTCAAAATTTCTCTTCGCATACGTAACTTCTACAAAAAACTAGCAACATTGTTCAAATTTGTTATTGTTTTTGGCAATTTTATATTAGTTCGGTGAAGTCAAATTGCCATAACAATAATTTTTTCTATGTATCTTAGTAAGAAGAAACGGCGTAAAAGGCAAGATGAATGACCATCAACACTTCGTGTTCACTGAGTTAATACGACGAATACCCATTTATTTTTCGGACATGATTAAGGAATTATTCACCGTCCATTTTGTACTAAGTGAATGAATTATGTGCCTAGTCCAAGATATTAACTAATGACTTGTCCGTGTTGCTTTGCCAGATATTCTATTCCGTTTCAAAATAAGAAAGAAACGGAATAAACGGATATCTTTTCATCGTTTGTGTATCAACACATTTACGATTATTTCCGTAATTTTATAAGTAGTAATTGCAACAAGAAAAGCGAGTGAAGGGTTTCTCGGAATCTTCTGGCAATTGATTTTGAGTACTTCAAGAACATATTGGATTCCAGGTGGCTAATTTAATGGAACATTCAAAATGGCTCAAAGAATTTTAATTATAAGGAATGGATATGGGGGGGGGGTCGGTGGCCGCAACGGTTTAGGCGTTTACTCGGCGCTCATTACTGTAAGGTAAAGTCCCGGGTTCGAATCCAGCGGCTCTGCATTCTAGCCCGACATACTTTTTTTTTTCAAAAACACCTGCACCCCCGAGGGTTGATATGACCTCTGCTGTTGCGAACCCTCGTAAAAAAAATGCACACAGTGCCACATGTGTGTCGTCTAAGGCACTTGTCAATGTATAGCCGAAGTTGGTGGGTGAGGGATATTAGGGCTTGATATTGAAAGAGAGTCCATTTTTAAAGGTCCAGGAGCTAATGGCATTTAGGCCCTCTTGGAGTGTTTGAGTGTTTGAAGGTTATGAGGTGAAAAGGAGAAGTAGATTTGTGTGCTATCCGCGTAGAGGGATATATGCAATATTTTAGGATGCGATATAACAACAAAAGAGAAAACCAGTTATATTGGAGCCTAGAGTAACACCAGAAGGGATAAGCCGGGGAGAGGAAGGGGATTATCTGGGATGAGCACATTTGCACGAGGGCTGGAAGGTACGAATGAAATCATCGAAGAACACTGTAGGGGAAGAAATAAGTATTGAGGAAAGAGGAGAGTGGTTTATTGTGTCAAAGGAAGCAACAATACGAATTTTACCTTATTCCATAGCCATCTGACATCGTTTGATATTTTTAAAACAGCTGAATTCGTTGAGAAACCAGGACAAACGTCAGATTGAAGAGGGTTTGAGGATTAGAAGTAATTGTAGGTTTGAGAGTTTACTAATTTTTCAAGAGGTTTAGCGAGGTTAGTAATAAATCGGAGGAAATCAATGGGAGAGAAGGAATTAGAGACTTCATTTAGGGGTTTGATCAAAGATTGCTTCCATGATAAAAAAAAAAGGAATTTTGTAAGTAGAAGTTATAAATATGAAGATGGTTGGAAGACAGGCAACGAAAGAACTGAAAGTGTCTTAAGTAGGATTTAAGGATCAGGCAGTAATTCAAATGGAGCTCTTAACCATCCAAAACAGACCCAAGTGCCATATTCGATCGAAAGCTTCCCTCACATTTTGAAATACACCAGAGTAATGCTTTTGCTCAAGAGCGATAGCGATGATGTATTGGTAAATTGAATTATTATTGTGTGTGGTCTCAGCACGACACGCAAGAATGGCACAGTTACACATAAGACAAACACTTTGAGTGAGTAGAAATACTTTGATTGAATATAAAAAATATATATTGCGTTGTATAAATTCACTTTTTTCCACATCCTAAATGCATTTGTTAAATGTAAACAATGTTTGTAAATCCCAGGCCCTGAAGATGATCTCAATAAAGATCGAAACGTTGGCACGATAAACAAAATGTTTTTCTGAAATCTACATCACATCAGACCGCATCTCACGATTTCTGAATAATTGAATTATTATTGTTTACGCACTTATAACATTTTTTTATTTATAAGTGGAGAAATTCCCTACTGAGCGATGGCATTGCTGAATAGCGGAATTAGAGTGTCTGAAGTCTGAACCTAAACTGGTGGTCAGGAATAATTTTGTGGGAATGAATGATAGAGATAATGTGTTAAGCAGTTTTTCTAGGATTGTTCCTACGAAAGGCAAATAATCTAATTGGACGGTAGGAATAAAAGTAAATTGCATTAATATTATTTTCGTATTTATAAATTTCATCTTTTAAAAGTGGATACGTAAATTGAACAGTTTTACGCTAATTAAAATAGTACTTTAACAAAACAAGGTTTATACATGTTATTTATTTTTAAATGAATGACAGATAATTATAGCTCTCTCATTTTTCTGAGGAAATAAAACATTTAGCTGTGATGATTGTTTTTTGTTAGTGCAACAAAGTGTGAGAAACCCGTAGCTCAATTATATCAATGACGACTTTAACGTCATGAATTCGAATAAAAAATTTTAAACTATCTTTATCATATTAAAGAATTAGGTTAACATTTTTACTAATAAACAGTTTTATTAGGCTTTTTTAAAAATTTAACAGTGGCTGGCTAATTGTTTTGTCGTAATGAATCGCCAGATACGAGTTAGAAAAATAATAAACCCAACAATTAGTCGAAATTTCCCCAATTTATTTTAAGAAACTAAGCAAAATATTTTATACAATCATTTTCATATTTATTGTGTTATACTAGACCATAATTGTTGTCACAAATTGTAAAGAATTAAACAAAAACAGCAAATATGTCAAATTAACAGCCAGTTTTTTTTATAAGTATAAAATATAAAACAACAATAGTACTATTCTTCCTTGTTAGTACTTGTTAATACTAAACAGATTTTAGTTGTTCTTAATACAACAAGAAAATATAGGAGGGCTGACGCTGTACGCCATAATTCTGAAGTCGACAAGTATAAGCTAGCTAAATTTTTACGCAGCAATAAACTGCCTTGGTATTCCAAAACACGGACATTTTACAAAACTGTTATTTTTTGTTTATTTTTTAAGTTACGAGTTATCATAATGCTAGTATGCTATAGTAGGTATGCTGTTTACCTAAATGTCACCGGTACTGTGATTGCACACTTTTACAATAACATTGTTCGTGAGAGAAGTTATTCCATTCGTAAATTTACTACAATAATTTTTAAACCAATGTAGGGAACACGATTTTTTAATTAGTTATAATTAATTAGTATTTTCAACAGGACGATGAATATGAAAATATTTTTAAAAAATAGATAATGGAATAAATTTTAAAGTTTCTTTGTTTATTAGGCATAGTGAAGCTCATTTTGAAACAACTACCGACTCGAACAAGTGAATTGTCACTTTAAACTTATTATGTTATTGATTCCATAAATAAAATTGAAACAACATGTTATTTGCCAAGATGAACAGATATTTTGTTTATTTTGAAGGAAAGGCAAGAAAGTTACCACCATTTGTTTATTCCATAGCTTCGAAAGCATCATAAACCTGGTTTTTGTGATGTTTCCCATTGAAACCTCCATCAAAAATTTTAAAATTTAGAAAAAAAGGGAACATTGTTGTCTTGTTTGTTCGGCATTTTAGGATTAGAAATATTAGCTGGTGGGATTTCTTCATTTATATATAAAACTGATTCTGAAATGATTATAAAAGAATAAACAATACCTACATTAAAGAAATAATTAGTAAAATCAGTCATTCTTATAAGATGGGCTTTGCAACCTACGATTAAGTTTTTGACGAACTGAATTTTTTTTATACAACAGCTTTTAAACACGACAGGTTCAAGGCTCTTCCCATTTAAGCATTAGATCATTCCAGGTCTTGCACCTATATAAACTAAGCCCCGTCTTTTGGAAGGCATTAATACCGTCTTCACCAAGCAATCATGAACTCGGCGATTATAGTAAGTGAAATTTATTTTGACAAATTGCAAAATCAATTTATCAGTTGGATTTAGCGTTTTGTAATAATATATTTAAGGTACAGTTTAAACAATCAAATTTATTTTTCGTTAAATGTTTTGAATTTTTTTTTAAACACGAAACAAAAATTAATGTTTCATAAAAAATCGATTAACAATAATATTTTATGTAAATTATAATGAGTCAATTATAATAGAATATGATTTTAAATACGTCAGCTTGTTTAATTTGCGATACAAATCGAGAAGAGATAGTCTTGGAGAGGATTTCAGTACGGCAGCCGAATTTTTGCAGAAAGGCACCGATGGCCGGAGAAGTCGGAAAATTGTAGAAAATCCTTGGGTTAGCGTAAACCTGTAATTAACCGATGACGTTTAGCCGTGTCTCCTACCGAAATTGGCCAACGGACTTACGAAATTAGAAATTAATTGTCACCTCCATCTGACTGCTATTTGTCCCTTCGGCGGAACGTACGCGGTGACGCATGTCTTGTAATTTTAGACTAAGCCCTTGCAGCCGGTCGGCCATGGATCGATTTGGAAAATAATATGTTACCGCAGCAGTGGCGGATCCAAGGGGGATGTAAAAGGGTAATTACCCCCCCCCCCCCGGAGCCAAGTGAAGATGTTATATGTTATATGTAATATGTCTTAGTTCAGCCTTAATTAAGCGAAGAGGATTATATTTCAGAATTATAAAACCTTGATCTGTTACCTCTGATAAACCTTCCCTAAATTAAATCATACGATACTTCGATCTCTCGATTTGATATCAAGAAACCTTTAAGTTGATGTTTAATTTTAGGTAGATTTCTTTCAAAAATCTAGCGCTATCTAGCGGTCGCATTTTTGATCGCATTGCAATGAAATTTGGCAGGGTGGTAAAGAATCCTTTAAGGACGGTTGGGATTGGTTTTTAGCCAAATCGACTGGGGGTCGCAGAGTTATAGGCGATGAAAGTAAAAAATTCAATCAACATTTTTGTCATTTTTGCGTTTTCTCCCGCACAACAACCTGCTCGGTTTATTTAACTTCATTCCCTCCGAGCTACACCCTCATAATTTGATTTTCACACCGTTGATAACGTTTTTAAGCTGTATTCTTCCAGTAACTGTTAAGGTCGGTTTGGCTCAAATCCAAGCTTTATTTTAAATGTTATCATAATTTGAAAAAATCCCATTTTTAATCGGGATTTTTTTTCAAATACGGTACTTTCAAAGCTAATTTCTAATATCAAAGTAACTTCTTTTTTATAATAAAATGAAACCGTAGGCGTTTCTTAATTTTTTTTACAAATATGCCAAGATTTCTTTTAAATTAACAGAGAAATCACGATAAAAAGCAAAAGTCCTTAAAATTGTGCATATCATTAATAAATATGGCATGGCCATCAGTCGTCTTTTTCCGTAAATCTACCATTGTTACCAAAAAGTAATAGTGAAGTAAGTAAGTAATGTGAAAAAATAATTAATTAAACAGCATAAAAAATTTCAAATAAAGAAGGTAACTAGTAAACTATTACTTACTAATTATTTCATTTTCATTATTTTCAGTGGTGTAGGAAAAAGTGGTACGAATCTAATTTAATTTAAGGCCAAGTGTTAATAAGAATCAAAATCAATTGATTAATTTTTTATCCATTGCAAGGTGTTTACAATAATAATAATATATACCCATGGTTTTCAAATTATTCTATAATTTTTAAAGTACTAAATTTTTATCATCCCTAGATGGATTCCGCAAAAGAAACAAATCTACCTCTCACTCCTTACTGTCGTGAGGGTTTTTGGTTGTTCGTTTATGTTTTGTGGTTTACGTTCGTTTATGTAATTTTTTACCATCGCAAACCATGATTTTATCGTGATAAGACATGTCCTTCTGGTACTTTTCTGATTTCTGACTCTAATCTTCTTTTTCGATCTTTCAATGTGATAACCTCCAAATTGGTGATTAATTTTTTATATTCGTTAATGTTGGTGAACAAAAACATTTACATTGCAGTCTATGACGGAAAAACATTTTGGAAATATATGAAAAATATGTTCCTTTTTCGAATCAAAATATGAAACTTTAAAACCAAGTTATTTTTTTCCATTTTTCCCCTTTGAAAGAGGAGAAAGTATTGTGTTGGGCCGAAAAACGATGTGTAGGGTTTTCTCTTGATTGGCACGCTTTTTGGTCCACTGTGTTTTAAAAAATCGAAATTTCCATCATACTCCTCCCGCTTTTGGTCATTATTGCTAAATGTGTACTTAGTTTGTTGTTAGATGTAAAATAAGATCATCTTTTTTGGTTTTACGTCAATATGTAATGCGTGTTTGTGGAAGTCCGAGTACTGAAAGTTAAAGTTTTGTTATTCAGACTTCAACAACTATATTGTCGAAATGTGCATGTGAATGTTGTTAAAAATTCTGAAGATGGTGTTGAAGGAATATCGAGTACTTCACAACCCTAACTGGTTATGGTTAAGAATGTTACAAAAAAGATGTAATTAAGAGTAACAGTGTGGATAGGTTTGGATCTAGATATTGATTCCGTTGGGGGCTGAAATGACCCAGATGTTGATAGCTCCTGCAGCCCAACCTTGATGGCTGGCTGGATAAGAATGAGGTGTGATCCTATCCTAGACTTCCGACAACCAGGGTGGGTGATTGTCGAGGCCGGTGGGCTAAAGTTTAGGCCTGTAGACTAAAGTTCGTAGGAGGTCCTCACACATGTGTGGGGTAAGTACATACAAGAGAGTACCTGAACGTATATAAAACAGTAATCAGCCATTCTTCCAAAGTTAATTGTCTGTAATAAAGGGCTTCTCTTAAGAATTTCTACAACAGATCCAGTCTAATCCATTTAGATGTACGCAAAGCTCACACCCAATTTTTATTCATTTTTTAAATATATTTCGTACTGTATGGTTTCAAGATATGATAATCTGCGAATAATGATAAACATTTTCTACTTGTTTTAAATTAAACACCTCCCATTATACTACAAATTATTATAAATTCCTTCTCTAGCCTTTAATTCAGCACTCTTTATTCAATATTCAACAATGTTTTATTGTAATTTCTCTATAAGTTTCCAAACTAATATTTTGCTTACAAAAAAAGTGTTTTTTCAGTTTTTTGCAGTGGTCGGCGCAGTGTTGAGTATGCCCTACGAAGGCCATATGTCGCAGGCCAGCCAAGAAGGGCATGGAGGAGGCCAGAGGGTGCAGACTGACCAAGGAAGCAGTCAGAGAAGTTTCAGAGGAGGCAACGAACAATTGCGCCAAAACCAGGGGAGGTCTTTTGGGGGCTTAGGCGATAAGCCCTACGGGGCAAGTCTGATTGACACACCGACCATGGTAGGCTATGAGGCTGTGATCCCTGGTGCGACTTCAAGATTCGTAAAGTACAGAAACGAATTTGGAAGTAAGTTTTAAAATAAAAATAAATTAATGATTTTCCCTTGCATCATAATGTATGTAAAATCTATTTTATATTTGATGTCTTGCCTTGATATTTGAAAATACTATTTTCACTAAAATATTGTCCTAATCCTCACTGTACCTCAGTGCTGAATTGAAGATTGATGTTGAGTGTTGATCTGCAAGTTGGTGAACTCGTTGGATCGGCTTCGGCTTACTTACCCCTACGGCTTACGTCTACCCTTTGTGTTTTCTTTGCGAGGGTTAGCAACATCATGTCATATCAACACTCAGGGTGTGTCTGGTTCGAATGCAGGGCAGCTGGATTCTAACCCGGGACCTTTACCTTACAATGATAGGCGCTGTATCAGCGCTTCAACCATTGCGACTACTGATGCCCCTCAAAGCTGGTTGTTGTCAGCTTGCCAAAGCTATTGGCTTTTATTCCACAATTCTTGGGCTAAACACTATTTTTAATCGGATTAATAATTATTTAGTCATCCTTACGTTGGAAACGTAAAACTGAAATTTAAGCAAAAATGCATCATTGCTATGACCATTTACTAAAAAAGTTATGTATTACTTTATTAATATATAACTCCATTTCATTTCAGGAAGCGGTAAGTCACAAGGAGGTTTTGGCCAAAGTGGACAAGGTGGCCAGGGTCAACAAGCAGGATTCAGAAATTCCCAGGATGGATATGGTCAATCTTCAGCATCGGCATCCAGAAAAGGCCAGGGATGGTAAAATCTTATTGAATCCAGGATCAAGCTTTCAATATGTTATTCTTTTCTTAATTTTCTTCTAAATTTCTGTACTTCACCATGAATAAATGTTTTGTATAATTACAGTTGATTCTTTCAATAGTCGATTCTTTCTTTTTACCCTTTTTCTCCCCTCTCTTGTATTATATCGTAAAATTGATATGTACTTTAAATATTAAAAACAGAAATTAAAAAATTAAAAACTAATTTAAAAAACTAGTGAAGATGGCAAAATGGTTCCTTTATACTACCACTATTGTTTGAGAAATGAGCTCTTCTATTGAAACTTAAACTATTTATTTTTAATGTTAATCTCTCTTTTACGAACTTAAATTGTTTAAACAATCATAAGTAGGTAAACCTAGAACTTAAAAGCTTAAATTGATGAAATGATGAAATGTTTGTTCTTATAAATGCAACTAGATAGCGCTTACTTATGCTATTACCCTAGATGTAAGACAGTTGGGATAAATGGCTGTAGATGCCCAATTTCAAAATTAAATGGAATAATTGTTTATTTTAACTGCCAATAAATTAAAATTTGGTTTATGTTTGGCGATGAGAAAAATGAACCCATTGGATCTGGAAATTGTACAATAAACTATAATTTATTAGCTCATTTGCATTAATTTGCCCGTTGCTTATCATTTTTTTCTGCCAATCCATTTTACAATTCACAGTGTATTCGTTACAGAGACGAATCCGCTAAAAATTGACAGAATAGAATGATCGGTAACGACCAAATTACAGGTTCATCATCAAGTAAATCACATGGAGAAATCTCACAATTTATTTACATTAGATTAATTACTTTAAGCAATAAAAGAACGAATAATAATGTAATAAAATGTGCACTTCTGTTTTATTAATGCCGCGCGGGTTCAGAGATTTTAAAATAGGGATATAACAAATAACGGGTGACAGGATTTACAAAAAAGAGAGATAACTTGTAGTATCCATTTTTACATCTGTTTTCTCTCTTCTCTCTGTCCAGACCGACTTTCAACTCCTGATATACATTTTATGTTATGTTATTCATGTATTACCGATACTTATTTAGTGAATTAACTATATAATAAGTGTTACTTTTAAGTATACTGACAACTTTAAAATGTTTGATGTAAAACTAAATATTTGTACTGATTCATTAACGAATAATTAAATAAATTTTATATATACAAAGAGTATCCTTTGTAGATGGTCCGGCTGAATTTTTCTGAACCAATAGCGCTATCAAAAACAAAAAATACGTGTTTAAGATTATTTAATCTAGTTTCAATTTTTTACTTTTTTTTGGAGATAATTATACAGGGTTCTTCAGGCCCAGTTCTACCTCAAAATTTTAAATACGACCCTATGCATCATGACACATCATTTTAAAGGATCTTTTTCGCTGCAAACAATGGTGCAATCCGATTTTAAATTGGTAAAAAATTGACAAGAGCAAAAAGTAAAAGAAGTCATTTGGTTTGCTATTTATAAATCACATTTCATGTTCGAATTGCCTACCTTGCGTAAAGATTTGGGCTTTTTAACCATTTGTCACCGGTGCTCAGAGCGATAGATTCAGGGGAGATGGATTGACGAGCATTTTCTACCCTTTGCCGCAGTTCTTCACCTGAGGATGGTGGGTTGTGAATGGTGTAGACTGTTTTTTTAAATGGCCCCACTGAAAATACTCAAGTGGTGTTAAATCGGGTGACAGAGGAGGCCAACAGATCGGGCTATGAGTCCTATCTACCTATCCCAGAAGTGACGATTCAAATAAGGTCTCACCTGCTAAGAATTGTATGCGGGGCATCGATCAAGCCGGAGAATCATTTTTTGTCGTTGTTGCAGAGGAACATCATGTACTAGTGTTGGTAAAACCTCTCTCAAAAATTGAGGAACTGAGCAGCATTTAAATTATTTTCGTAGAAGTAAGGCCCAATTAAATTATTTCTGAGATGTTCACACCAAACGTTGATACTGTGAACCAGCTGATGATGACAAGATTAAGATATCCTCGGATTTCTTCTGCTCACGTTCGAAAATTCTAACTGTTTAGTATGCCATTAGAGTTGAACTTGGATTCTTCAGACCATAGGATGTATTGAAGGACGTTTCCTTCATCCTCCCAAATCGACATCTGTGCAAGGAATGTAAGATGTCTGTCATGATCAGAGCCCGAAGTCCCTAGACAAGATGAATGCTATACGGCTTAAAATTATAATGTTTAATGTTGTCCGGAGTACATCTCTAATTTTATGTTTTGAAAAACCTGAAAACCTTAAACATTTTGGAGAGAGGAATTCGGATTTTCGTAAACAAACAGTAAAATATCCAGCTCCTCGTCGAAATTACGCTGCCGGATTCTTGGTGATGGAACAGCAACTGATGAAAAGAAGATCGTTAAAACACCTGACAGAAAACCATACCCAAAATGGGACAAACTGCCTTACAAAAATCGTTATCATTCACTAAATTTTTTCCGTAAATAAATCAATACCGCCTATCACAAAATTAATTTAAATGAACAAAAAGAAGATGCTGAAGATGATACATTAAAAATGGAGATGAAACAAGGTGATGAAAATACAAAAACTAATACGACCGGAATAATCTATACCTTGCTCACTGCTTAAAATTAAAGTACTTGTTCATAAACATAAAACAGTTAAATCTGTATATGATAATGGCTCTTCTTCATTCATTTAGAAAAAGTGAGATAACTATCTAACAGTTACCAATTTCCTATGTTTTTTTAGAAAGCTCAAAATAAGTGTTCAAATCATAAAGCGAGTGATCATGTACTTCAGACAACTAATTTAAAGGATTATAATAAAAAAAGACGAAATTACAATTAAATTAAAAAAATTCTTTATTTGGAAGATTCATTTTTCTATTCATCTCTAGTAATGATAGTATCCGTTATGGTAAACTCCATAGCCTGGAACAGAATGAAGTTTTGAAAATAAAAAGCATTATTTAATTTTATTAAATATATTCACTAATTTCGTGGCCCGCTTGACCAATTAAATCATTGCAATTAATTAAGGTTTTTAGTTGAGATGAAAAAAAGTTAATGGCACGAGAGGGATTCGAACCCACGACCTTCGGCTAGATACGCCGCTGCTCTACCACCTGAGCTATCGTGACCTCGATCCACTCGGACATCAACTCCCCATCTCAACCCCACCTTATGAGTTTTGAAAAATGGCAAAAGGAGGGAAAACTCATAAGGTGGGGTTGAGATGGGGAGTTGATGTCCGAGAGGTTCGAGGTCACGATAGCTCAGGTGGGAGAGGAGCGGCGTATCTAGCCGAAGGTCGTGGGTTCGAATCCCTCTCGTGCCATTAACTTTTTTTCATCTCAACTAAAAACCTTAATTAATTGTAATTTATTAAATATATTTTTTATAAATGAGAAAATATTCTAAACTCACCAGGATAGACAGTTGGGGGGTATACTACCGGGTAGCCCCCAAAGCGAGTCAAACCCGCGCCGACATGGACGCTCGCGAAAGGCAGTCCAACCCTAAGTGAGACAGTCGCCGCCGCCACTGCGAGGACAGCGAGTAATACGACAACCTGTAAAATATAATAAAATCTATGGTAATGTGATAAAAGACAATTGTATTAATGAAAAAGGTATTGCATTGACACGGAAAGATATCGGGCCATGGTCGATGACCATAACCTTATTATCGTAATTAACTATCCACGCACTATCGCGACGCAATAACTTTCGCCGCTAACAATTCCCAACGTTTCGCATCACTTCTGGGAAAAACTGCCTATCAAATATTTCGAATTTAATTAAATAATTACAATCGACCAACTCATTAACTCTGAATGAAGTTATCTAAGCTTTGTTGTTTCTTTTACATGCACACACAGACTAAAAACCACTCGGAAAACCTACAACGCAATTGAGAAAACGTTTTTTCTAGCTTCATTGACAAATTAAACACATTAGAATTATTTTTCAATTAATTAATATTTATGAAAGGTATTGGTTAAGATAAAAAAGTCAGTGTCACGAGCGGGATTCGAACCCACGCCCTTCGGCTAAATACGCCGCTACTCTCCCACTTGAGCTATCGTGACTTCGATTTGCTCGGACACTAACTTCAACCTCATCTCTCGAATTTTCCCTCCTTTTTGCCATTTTTCAAATGTCGTGTAATCTATTTGATTCTCGGCGACAAATAAAATGGCCACGGATAACTTTCGTGAAGATATACTTCAGTTTAATTATTAAATCCATGACAGTTCGTGGTCCGACTGACCAATTAACATTTTTCAATTAATTAATATTTATGAAAGGTATTGGCTAATATAAAAAAGTCAGTGTCACGAGCGGGATTCGAACCCACGACATTCGGCTGAATACGCTGCTGCTCTACCACTAGAGCTATCGTGATTTCGATCCGCTCGGACACTTAACTTCCCATCTCAACTTCACCTTTCGAATTTTCCCTCCTTTTTGCCATTTTTAAATGTCGCGTAATCAATTTGATTCTCGGCGACAAATGAGGTCGTGGGTTCGAATCCCGTTCGTGACCCTGACTTTTTTTTATCTTAACCAATACCTTTCATAAATATTAATTATTGCAAAAATGTTAATTTGTCAATCGGACCACGAACGGTAATGGAATTAGAATTATTATTCAACTATGCTAACAGTTGTATTTTATTGTTCAACAAGATGAACTGCCGAAAATAGCGAGAAGCCGAAAGGCTTCGGGCAATCCGAAACCATCAAACTACACTTTTGGTTGAATACATGCAATACAGAATCTAGTTAATTAAAAAGCTAAAAATTTTGTGTAAATTAAAATAAAAAAAATTTAGAAACAACAAAAGAAGCAACATGAATTGGTTTCCCAAACAATTAAAGTTTGTGTGTGTGTGTGTGTGTGTGTGTGTGTGTGTGTGTGTGTGTGTGTTATATTATAGAGTGTTAGAATTGAGGCAGCAAGAAAAACAAGTGAGGAGAATTCGGAATTGAGACATACTTGTTCCAGCCTGCGACCTGACCTCATACATTTTGCAAAGAAACAAAAAAATATTTCGATGGAACGAAAAATCTAATGGAGGTCGGATGTCGAGTCCCGGAGCAGCCTTGAATATGTCCTTTTTCTGAAGATTCCTAGTTCGCTTGTTTTTCTTTCTATCGTTGTCGATTCAGCTGTTGACTCACTATCTAAGCCAGCACGATAACGATGACACTCGATTCAAACAAGAGATAAAGAGAAAGTAAGTTATTTGATCAGAGTAGCTTTTAAAATTTGTCATAAACAGTTTTTCCGTACTCTTGCTTTTCAATTTGCGTTTATTTAAATACTGTATATAACCCAAGGTAAATTGAAATGGAGAGTGAAAATCATTGATGATCGCAAATGGGCCATTACAGCCAGCCACATTTTCTCTCTTGAATGGTTCTATAAATCGAGAAATAGTGGCTTCAAAAACGCGTAGTTTTGACAAGTACATTCCGAAGATAATCGTCAATCGTCCTTTGGTAGAATCAGAAACTTAAGTACGAGATTAAGAAGAAGGACGAGATTCTGACCCACTAATCACACATTTTACGATACTCCGATAATTGAATAACGACTGCTGATATCGTAATAATTTTAATAAATACTCAATTAAGCCTCCTTCATAGAAAACATAAAATAAGGTTGAGTTTTTTAAATTTTTGTAGTAATTAGCAAGTTGTGATATTTGGTGGAAAGAAATTTTACTTTGAACAATAAAATAACAGCTCAGAACAGAAAATTTTGCGGAAAAATTGTATTTCACCTTTTGTGCTTTGGTAGTTCTAGAATATTGGAGTCGGCTCAAAGTAGATTTGGACGGAGGATTAAACTTTTGACTCAATTTAGTACTAAAGTGATTAAAAAAACGCTATTAATTTTCAAAATTGTAATTTAGCGTACGAGATTGTTATTTTTGAAAATAACGTTTTTAATTCGCTAATAATATCGGCAGTTAAAAAAATTTCTACAAGAAGATTAAAAAGGACGTCCTAAATATTTAAGTTAGATTTCATGCAAAAATTGAAGCATGTTGACATTCATGTGAAATTCGTGCCTCAAATGATTATTTTTACCAGTTTAAGCCTGCTGAAACTGGCTAAAATATTATAATTTGTGAGAAAAAGCGATTATGTTATAATTTTTCTTTGAAAGTTTTAACTGTTTTTTAATTCATCCAGTAATTATATGAAAATGAACGATTGTTTCAATTCTACATTTTTATAAGACTGATTTTGCTTATTATGTATTTAATTTTTTGTTCTTTATTGTTAAAGTTTTGTTTTTTGTCGCTTTATTGTTAATTTTCAAGAGGGTTTTTTTTATGATATTCATCAGCATAATATAGATTACGCTTTAGATATCGAAAGAGTAAACAGTTTAGATAATCGGCTATTTAATTGTTTAGAATATTCCACTCTTCATAATTTTTGAAAAATATTTTTGTACAGGAGGCAAATTTCCTTTCAAAAGTGAGATAAATGTTTTTAGATATGAATTGTTTACTTAAATTTGACAAATAATTAGTGTAATGAGTTCTTTTTTCTTGTACTGATGTCTTTTCTTTATGCTTTAGACAAACCTTTATACATCCTATGGCGTTATTGAGTCCTTTGAGCAATTATCAATTTATAGGGTTTTAGTAATTGTCTCATAAATGTACAAATGGACTAGTTCGAAAGAGAGCATGCTACACTGATAGGAAACTCAAAAACACAATTTATCAAAATGCATAACAAGAATAAATTGACCAGTGGATAATTAGACAGCAGATACTGTTTTAACTAACCAACAAGGGGTGAATTTCTCGAAAAAATAAGTGTTTTCTTTAAATAATCATTGATTTGCAATGACAATAATATGTACTATGGACAAAATGCTTTTTTTAGAAAAATACTTTTATTAAATAATATTTACAACATTGTGAACAGATAGAATTTAAGTTTTTGTAAATTTCTTTAAAAACCAAAATCCGGGTTATTTACCTTTGCGATCATTTCGTCCTGGTTTTCAGTTGAACAACTGCAGATGTCCACTCAGCACGGGTTATTTATACGAAGATGTCGCGTCCACTGTTCACAAACACATTAGCAGTTAATTTATTTTTGATCGTCTTCTGTCGGATCGTATCACCGCTCCTCTGGGCAGAATCTCCATTTGTCTACAAGGTTGATCCCGTAAGAAGATAACTGTTGTACATTCCGGTATTGTTGACCGTCAAAGTCTCGTGAGCTTCCTCCTGCCTGTGCTTTAATTCGTGGTTCAGGATGTATAGGAGGGCAACGATCAGCAGAGAGGTCTGCACTGCGATGACGAAGGTGAAGGTTAGCTAGAAAATTTTTAGGAGGTATTAATAATAGTCATTTTCATATATAACGATTAGGTGAAGAATTGGGACTTGATCAATTGTATTAACAGTCACGACAAAAACTTCTATTATGTATTACTAATACGGCTCCGATTGAATATTCTAACAGTTTAGTAAGAAAAGTTTAGAAATGTCAATAATCATGGATTTCATCCTAAACAAAGAACTTATGTTCGATCATGTATCAACAAATTTTATTTAATTTTAATTAATTCTTCCCGTTTTTTCAATAAATACTGAAAATAATGAATCTACTCACCACATAAGAACCCATGGTTGAATGTTAAGGACAAGGTCTCACAAAAGACATTCTGCCCTTTTATAGAGAAAATTTAGAAGGTTAGACATTGATATTTGAAAATATTTTATCTTTACCATAGTAAACTGACCCAGAATGATAATCGCAGAATAAACTTTACCCGTTGGAGGTTTATCGGTATCAACATATTGAAGATTTATATGAAATAACGCTGATAAATATTTAAAGGCAGCCATAATAGCGCAAGCAAGCTTTCAGACGAGACATAAATTTATTGCTCAAGCCATGATTATTTTGTCAATTACTTCGTATATACAAGTCAACAACTCAATAGATTTTATAACTAGTGTTATAAACTAGTCGTAACCCGAAGAATTGCGGATAATAAAAACACCGAAAGAAATTTTAATATAAAAACCAAAACTTTCCATAATTTTTTAAATTATTTTTAGTTCTTTCTAATAAATAATTTCATAAGAACCAATTATAATGAAATTTATACTATGTGACAGTAAGTGACCCGGGAACGTCTGTCATTACCTTAACAGGAGGGTATCCAACGTGTCAAATTGGTTCTTAATTTTATCCGAGATATCTCACTTTTCAGGTTACTTCAATTTTTTTCAAAACTTTTTTACATAAAGTTTCCTGTATCTCATAAAGTCTTAATCCTACGGCCAATTTGGTAATCAAATTTGAAAGAGCATGGTTATACGACATCCATCTGTGTTTTTATTGTAACCTTAAACATACAAAATAGAAAATTAAAGATAGCTCTTAGCATTTTCAAAGTTCTTGTCCAACCCCAAATAAGCACTGACAATATTTACTTCATTTCTCAAAGGTCAGTTACAACCCATATAAAAATAGTCTTTAATTGCTAAAGAGTTGATTTTTTCATTACAAACGGTTCAAAAAAAATTAGCCAGAAACTTTTAATAAAAATACTATCACCACTAATAACAACCTTATAGAAAGGATTCTGGAATGCGGGGTTGGTATGGAAGAAATGAGCAGGTTTAACTCATGACAGCAGTAAAATCTGTAAATTCTTCCAAATGGTGGACATATTGAATATTTTATTTAATTTTTTGATAATTTTTTTTAAATCTATTTTTTAGCAAATAAACATTAATTATACAATGGCGACAAGTGATCACTGACAATGAGAAATTAATTACATTTGCTTGCAGTTCATTAATAGGGGCAAATGTTCTGTAAGCACATATTTGTCATTTTTTTTCAGAACCAAGAAAATTTTTTTACGTAAATATTAGACAAGAACCTATTAAAAGTTTTTACCTTTGATTCTATTCTGTTAGATTGTAACCTTAAGCATAAAAATATAAAATCACATAAAAAATAAACTTTTACGTGCTTCCAAGTTTTAATAATTTAAAAGCTTATCCTTAATGTCAAAATAACTAAATAATCCTAATTGTCCAATATCTGATTCTCAATTTCATTACAGATATTTTACTTTTCCAGGGTTATTCAACATTTCACAACTTTGTTTCCATGTATCTCATAAAACTCTAATCCTATGGTAATTTTGATTATACCAGTTGAAAGAATATTGGCAATCCTATTACCCCCATCTGTGTTTTTATTGCAATCTTATGCACAGAAAATAAATAATCAAATATAACAACCTATATTAGTTTTCAAAGTTCTTGTCCAATGTTTAAGTAAGATTTTTTGGTTTTGTAAATACTGTCGGATACGGTGCTTACAGAAAAGTTTCGGTAATAAGATGTAAAGATATTTACTTTATTTCTCAAAGGACTTACCACCAATGTAAAATTAACTTTTAATTGTTAAAAATTAGATTTTTCGTTTACAAACTCTTCAACGAAATTAGACACGAAAATTTTTCAAATTTTACGAAAAAATAATGAATACAAAGTAAACAAAAGACACTCTGGTACAAAATAAAAATAACGAACAATTATATTAAGTGAAAAAAATTAATTTAGATCTTCAAAATCCGCCTTCTTGAAAAATGCAAGCCTGAAATTGTTAGGAACGCAAGATCCGTGAATCCTTTCTTCGAGGTTTTTCTTACTTGCGACAGTATGTTGAATAAAAATTTCAAAATCTGGCTTTATGTTTTAAACGATTTGTAATAAAAAAATCAAATTTTTAAGAATTAAATGTTAATTTTACATTGGTATTTCTGTAAGCGTCAATTCTGTAAAATCTTACTTTAATAGTAAGAAAATGTTACTTATGCAAAGAACTTAGAAAAGAACTTTTGGAACTCGTAAAAAGTTTATCTACTAAATGAATTTCTATTTTGTTTTCTTAAGGTGGCATTAAAAAATAAGAATTAAATTAATCTTACCGAGTTTTCAGTGTTCTTTCCATTGGTGTAATCCAATTTACAGTATGATTGATTAATATTTTATGAGATACGGAGTCGTTTTGGAACAAAGTTTTGAAAGGTTGAAGTACCCTCAAATGTAAAATATCTCTAATACCTTACAACAACAAAGATCTTTTAGTCGAATCTGAAATGTAGGATAATCCGAAGTATTGTCTGAATTTCACAGGACACACTGCGTAGATTGAGAACGCGCCTTACGTAAACCTTACTTAAACTGATTCAGCATATTTAGGAGCGGAGCCAGTAAAGTGGAAGAATCACCTGATTAATAATTGTCGTGTTTAGCCCGAAACATAGTGAAAAATAAAATGTTTGAGAAACTTTCAAGCTTTGTCCAAAACCTTTTTAAATACTCGTCCTGCTGTGCTCAAGGGAGGAAACGGCTTTATACATATGTACGAGTATATAAGGCAAGGTTTTACCCCCTAACTGTTGTGAATTACAAATTATCTGAAATCGAACGAGAAGAACAAATTCGGCAGATGCAGGAGGAGGACTTCATCACTGTGGTGGTGGTGTCACAAAAAATAACAATAATAATTAACACTTTATTTACTTCGCTTTCACACATTCAATATTATAGATTTATTGAAAAATCTTCTTCTTTTGTTTTCAGTAATACGAATATGGATGATCGTAGTAAAGGAAGTTACCGTAAGCCACGTCGTCGTAGAAGTTCTTGTAGACTGGAACAAACAAATTGATCAAACTTGGAATTTATGTATGATAAGTAATTTAAAGTTTATATTTATTACAATACGGATAGTCGAGGCCGTAGTACGAGTAAGAAGGATGCGCTACTAAATGGGAATGGCTGTATGAATATGGCGTCGCGTACCCGTAACTGTATCCATACCCGGGGCTGTAAAGTCCGACTGGGCTGCTGTAAACCGTAGCGAGGAAGCAAGCCAAAATCTGAATAAAAAACATTATTAATTTCAAGGTAAATGTACATGTATCCTGGATTTGTTTTCAATCTTCAATTAAGGTGTTGGTGTAAAAGTTTATTTTTTATTTAATTGATCTTTAATTAAGGTTTTGGTTGAGATAAAAAAGTCAGTGTCACGAGCGGGATTCGAACCCACGACCTTCTGCTAAATATGCCGCTGCTCTACCACTTGAGCTGTCCTGAGTCCGATCCACTCGGACACCAACTTCCCATCTCAACCTCACCTTTTGAATTTTCCCTCCTTTTTGCCATTTTTTCAAATGTCGTGTAATCTATTTGAATGTCGGCGACAAATGAAATGGCCACGGAAAGCTTTAGTGAAGTATACTTCATTTTGCCTATTACATCTATTAGGTTTCGTGGTCCGATTGACCAAATACATTCTTTTCAAATTATTAATCTTTAATTAAGGTTTTGGTTGAGATAAAGTTGAGATGGGAAGTTGGTGTCCGAGTGGATCGACGTCATGATAGCTCAAGCTCAGAAGAGGAGCGGCGTATTTAGCCTAAGGTCGTGGGTTCGAATCCCGCTCGTGACACTGACTTTTTTATCTCAACCAAAACCTTAATTAAAGATTAATTAATTGAAAAGAATTTATTTGGACAATCGGATCATAAAACAAAATAGGTTATTTTTTACCATGTATAACGAAAAATGATTGCATAAAAATGCTGTCAAACTTTAACAGGTAAAGAAGGCTAATTGGACAAAACGTGTGAGCGAAATTATACTTTATTCACAAGACTTCAGTAAAAGAATTTTCAAAAAGAACACATTTTAATTCTGCGAAAGGGTAGAAATTGTGAAAAGTACATTTTATTACAAGACAAATAATATAATATTTATTAAAATCTATATTGTTTTTAACAAAGTGCATATTCCCACTTTGTTTATCTTTGATCAAACCAAATAAAGAGCAAAGTTCGATGGGCCGACGATCAATATAATCTTTCATCTTCCTTCTATAAAGCAAATGCTGTCACCAACTTCAATATTGCAACAATATGAAGAATTTATATTGGTAAAGACCATCAAATGGTGGTATTTACTATCAGTTCACAATAAGTACAATATTTAAGGGCGTCTGTGGCCGTAAACGTTGACACGGCGACTCATCACTAGAAGGGTTCTGGGTTCGAATCTCAGCGGCCTTTAATTGGAAAATAAACGTGCTTCCATATGGGTTTTGTTCAGTTAAAAAACACCGGTATGAGCACCGTTTTGGCTCTACCCAAATCTTGCAAACATAAGTGATAATAATGTGGTTACATTTGAACTCATGCCACTCGTGACAAATTGAAAATATTGTAGTGCATTTGTGAAATATTTGTTTGTCTTACCAAAAGCGCGTACCGTGCCATAGTCCCACTAACAGTAACAATGGGCTCCCACGAGCCTCTTCTCATTATATATGAAGGTGTCCAGGATGGATTTTATGCTCTAGGCCAAGGATCCGTAATGCTTGGTTTGTCCTGCGTCACAGCTAACGATCTAGTCAAACAGTAAAAGGACGTTGAAAAGGTCTCGTACTTCCTTAATTATAAAGCTATTTTTTTATATTTTCATAGGGAGAATAATCACGATGAATTCCTGAGCAAACAATGATAAAAGACACATTTTGAGTCTCCTACGCTCGTCTAATAAGGTAATATAATTGTGTTATTCACTAATGCCTATTTATAGATTTCAAGGTGTATGAATTTCATTTTAAAATACAAAGGGTGTAAGCAAAAAATTTGATGAGAAACCAACAGTTTTATACGTGCTGTGTTGTCAAGTTATGTGAAACCTTCAAGCTTAAGTAAACTCATGAGAAAATTTATACTCATCAAATATATTTTATAAAAGTTATTTAATCTTTTTTTCTGCATTGGACGACCAACGTATATTTTCCATATTAGCGTTCAGGTTTCGAATCCCTCCTCAGACTATCGATTTTTAATTGGTAATAGCATGTAAAAATACATTTTAAAGTGATTTGGCCCTCGACCGCGGCAATCAACGGGTAGTTAGAGTGATGCCTTCCTGCATGACAGGAATTACTTTATTTTAGAAATCTAAGTCTTTTACGTTTCGAAGTTAGGCTCCAGGGTCAACAGCTTGGTAATTTCAGCACCAAAAATGTTTTTAGACCCTCTCATTACTTTTTTTTTTTTTACAATGGATACGACGGACTGGAGGAGTTCCCTCCTGAGCACTGCAGCTGAGCTGTACAGCTTATTGTACTTTATCCCTGGCTCCATATTTTGGGGGAGGGCACTCAACACAAATGTGAACTTGAGCCCCAGTTGTACCGGTGTTCTTCCATCGAAGAAACTCATTTTTGAAGGGGGTTAGGACCAAATTCAGGGTCGCTGAGATCCGATCCCGCCCCTTCCATTGATGAGTGCCGTATCAATTTCTTTCAATTGCGGCCACTGGTCCCCTTAGGCGTCAGAAAAAGTCCAGAGGCGACGGTGGGGATCGAACACACGACCCGTCTGACGCCTTAACCACTCGGCTACCGCGGCCCCCCACTCTCATTCCTACTTACATATCATTCAATGAAGGAGTGGGATTTGATATTTTTTCAATCACTATTTTCACATATTACATAACTAATCCAGCTGAGAGCCAATATCCCTTCATCGGCCCGCTCACGCTGCACATTCCCTCTAATAAATACGTTCACTCTCAATAGACACAAAAGGAAACACAAAACGAGACATCTACCAAGTACTCTATGCAATACAACTGCCATTTTATTTAAAAATAGAAACGGGGATCCAAATACTCGCTGCTGTGCTCAAGGTAATTTTATTATCAGTCGCTTTTTATATGGAACCAAAGAAAGATTCCCTTCAATTAAGTGACAGAACGGGTAACCTTTCTCTTCATCCAGATATGTACGAAGATTTGGCCCAAAGTGTCCGAGTGTCAATGCAATTAAAAGCATGTTTGCCACTTTAAAAAAATGCACATATCGTCTTTATTATAATCAATTTGTAAAATAATTAGTTTATTTACCTAAATTGCATACAAACAAGGACGAATAACGAACCTATTTCGACCGTTGTGGCTATGAAAGATATGAAAACTTTAAACTAAAATGTTTTTATTTTTATTTCTTTTTTAATTTCTACGGTACACAATAATATAAACCATAAAACTTTCTTTAATTTAGAGTTTGATTCCAGTGCCTAGCCGTCCTGAAGAGGGACCTGTAGCACAGGTCGAAATGCATAGACATCACCTAATAATCAAGGTTGATCTAGGCGATTTTCAAACCTCTGGATGTTAAATAAAATAAATTAAAATAAAAAGAAATTAAAAACCAAGTAACCTGAATGTTAACATATTACTCTCCTATATATACATTAAGTATTGATCATCGATGATAATTATTTAATGTGTCTTTTTTTACATTCAAATACGATAATAATTTATGCTTTTTCATTTGTTATTCAGGCGCGCCTTTTTGTGAAAACATAGATCGATTAATATTAAACTATCATTACGTTGTGAATTCTCTTGAAATTAAATAATGACTTTAATGACTAACACCCATTTTCTTTGTTTCATAGTAATCGTTGTTATTTGACAATTTGAGAACTATTCAAAGGTGAAATGTTTTTAAATAATAAGTAAAAACTGAAAGCTTACTCTGTTATCAAAAAACTTTGTTGATATTTTACGTTATGAGAGTAAAGTAGAGAAGCATATGCTTTCAAAAGGCAAGTGATTGTAAAATGTGTATTTTTTTTATTCAAATTTTGATTTACCCAAATATTTTCTCTACTGTGGAAAAAGAGTCTTCTCTTTTTCATGGACTATTCATTTTCTTCTGTAATATTTATCTGTTCAATGTTTCTATTTTAAGGGTTTTAGAGGTTTTCCGTTCGTCTTCTCCAAGCATCTAAAGGTTCTGCTAGCTAGGAGATCTCGTCAAACCAAATCAGTTCCTACATTCTCCTTATTACCTAATTTTTTTTTTACAAGGGTTCGCAACAGCAGAGGTCATATAAACCCTCAGGGTGCAGGTGTTTTTGGAAAAAAGCCCATTCGTAAATATGTCGGGTTCGAATGCAGGGCCGTTGGATTCGAACTCGGGACCTTTACCTTACAGTGATGAGCGCCGTGTCAACGACGAAACCTTGCGGCCACCGACGCCCCCCTATTACCTACTTCCAAGGTCAAATCGGAAAAAGTCGTATCTTCAAGATAAGATGTCGCTATGAGCCCACCAAGGAGGGTGCATTCTTTGTCCTACCTTATGTACTGTTCAATCCTTTTTAAAAGGATTGAACACCACACTCACTCCATCATTTATCATTTCTATTTATTGTTCATACTGATCATATGCCAATTCAGATCAACACCACTTCTGCAACCTATGCGAACAATGCAGGAATTTTATTTCCTCACTCTAATCTTATTCCAGCCATATTTAATACCTTGGTATCTTAACCTCGACGGAGAATGGTACAAAATGTGAAAAATGAAACTGAACAAGGACATGGACGTTAAATGAATGGCTTTGCTCACGACTACATATTAAATATTTAGAAATCTATTCAGTCACCAGGCTGACGTTGACACAAGATTCAAACTACAAGAACTAAACAGATAGCATGGACAAATACGAAGACATCTAAGACTGAAATCAGACATGACTGTAAAAAACGTCAAAATTGGACATACAATGGTATAGGTACAACCAAACCTATCAAATATCCAACTAATCTAAGCATTCAAATCAAAGGTTTTTAAAAGCTGTCTCCAAGCTCTTTTGTACGTTCACCCACAATGAAGAAGAAGTGATTCCTGGTTCCTCAAATTTCATTCAAATCTCTCAACCTCAATGATGAAGCGCTCTCCTCCACGTCAAAGAAAGAACCATTTGAAATGTGTACATTTATGCAGAAGAATAAATAGTATGTTTTGTTGTTGTTGTGTCGGTTTATATTTTTCATTCCGTGAGTTTTCCACGACTCTATTTTAGGCTCTAGTTTATTTACTTTTATTGAATTCTTCGGTGTTACCGCACTGATTCTCTTCGTTGATATTAATGTGGAAAGTGAGTTTCCATTACTATTGAAGTCGTCGTATTTTCTTTTTTTTGTTTAATTTTTTTAGTAAACAAACATAAAATTTGGGTCTGATGTTTTTATATCTATTGGTTTACAGCGAAACCAGTTTTGTCTTTTTACATTTATTTTTTAATTATTTGAATTTTTAAAAACTTCTGTAATCAATTTGTTATATGTAGACACTGTTTACTATTGCTATTAATATCTGTCTACTTTAAAGATGGTTAATTTTTGACTTATAATAAAGGGTTAAATTTCTTCTTCTTATAGATTATTCATCTTACATACCCAGGTTGGGTGCCGAGGACCGACTCCTCTTATATACTCAAGATGGAGTTTTATCTTCCGGACAATAATCTGATGGAAACATTAGCCGCCAAAAAACACATCCCAATAAGAGCCAAATTAGGCTTTCTTTGCGATTTGCCACAGAATAATATTATCAACCCATTAGCGGTTTCTTCTCAATTAGAAAGACCAAATTTATTCCTGGCATGCGTTCCCGTTTTAGCATAGTTCAGATAGCGATCAAATTATTACTTCCTCCTGCATGGAAATGCAGTTGTACCCTTGTAAACTGGGAGGAGTCGCTATTATGCAACCGAAGACCCACTTCATTTATCATTCAAAACAGGCTCTTAGAATGCAATGCCATTGACGTAAAAAACGTCTTAATGCCACGAGGCGTTCTCACCAGTTAAGCAAAGTTATCATTAGGATTATATTAAATAATTAGTATTTTTATTATTGTGCTCGTTTAAAACATTACATTGGATAAATATGTTGTTAAGCCGGAAAAGGTTTTTGTAATGTAAAAGGTTTATGTAATAACTTACCACATCATAAATAAAAGTGTACAGTACAGATTTTTAAGAAAAAGGAAAAGAGAAAGGGAGAGAGAGAGAGAGAGAGACAGAGACAGACAGACAGACAGAGCGACAGAGTGACGTCTTACAGTTTGAGGCAGGTTCTTACTTGTTTCCACTACTCTTCTTTTAAGAATGAACATCAGTTCATTCATGTAGATCTTAGATTAACAATTCATCGTACCGATTCAAGCGTTGGCATTTGGAACAAGCTCAAAATGCAAATAACCCTTTAGAGCTCACGCATAGTAAAAGCTTTTTTTCACTTTCAATAAATGTATCAAAAACTTCTTAGTTTCTTTTCAATTGTAGTGATCTTTCTGCCATTTCGTTTCATTATTCAATTTTATATTCAAATAACCCAAATTTTAGAAGGAAATATGTACAGATACCAAAATGCTTTTGGGTTTACAAAATTGTAAAGTTTCACAATAGATTAAGTTATAATCACTTTATTAAATATATGTTTATTTTGTGTGGTGATTAATGACCGTTAGTTAATGATTATTTAGAGATCGTGAGATGCGGTCTGGTGTGACGTAGTTTTTAGAAAAACATTTTCTTTTTCGTGTTAACGTTTCGATCTTTATTGAGATCATCTTCAGGGCCTGTGATTTACAAACATTGTGTAAATTTAACAAATACATGTAGGATGTGAAAATATGAACTTATACAATGCTGGAATTTTAGACTCAATTTAGAGTTAGATC